GAGGCTTGTTTCATGTTTTGTTTGCTACATCACCCACAAACTTGTGAAGTGAAACTGTTGTTCCTTAAAAGAAAAAGCTCTGGTGTTGCTCCTGCTCTCTAGGAGTGGAGCCCTTCCTCCAAACTTTGTGCAAGGTTCTGTCCATTCTGGAGCAAGGTTTTTCAAGCTGTCCTTGCCAAGCCCTTAGCACAGGCTGAACAGCACCAGTCAAATTACTGCATCCACAGTGTTCTGGCTAGAATCATAAACTGAAATTTACTTCATCCCAGGAGGAAGAGGCTTACCACACATTGCTCCCCTTAACCTAAGATCTTGCCCAGATACAAGTTCAGTCACATGTGAACAGCACTGTTAGTGAACCAAAAGAGTGGGTGAAACTTTGGACCCATCTTACCTCATAAAAAGGGCTCAAGTTCAGAAGTAATTGAGAAGCTGTTTATGGGAGTTCTGTACAATCAAACCAAAACCAAAAGCACGAAGACAATGATCGATGCCCGAACTCAAGCACCTCAGCATGCTTTTTGCTGTTCCATAACCAAACAAATGAGTCTGATGTCTCATTGTGTGTATTCAAACAGGAAGCCACTCTGCAAGCTCCCAGGTTGGATTTGACCCTGAGTAAAACTGCCTTATCAGGCAATGCAATCCTAGGTGTACTTATAGGAGACTTAAAGTGTTTCATATGCAGTCAAATAACTTTATCACACCTGACTTGCTTTATTGCTTTGTCTTTCAACACATTAGATGTTATGGGATCTTCCTAAGTTTCTACCCCAGCAGCACCTCCTTCCCTGCTACTACTAACCCTTCAGGCACTGCTTCCAGTTTGGTGACTGCTAGTTCCCAAAAATAGGAGATTCTTTTAACCTGGCTTCTGAGATGAAACAGTCTTGTTGGATACTAGACAGTCCCCTCAGAGGGGGATAAATATTTTGTAGTGAAAGAGACTTCCACTGAACTTCTCATCCTTTTCAAAAGAAAGAAAAGATATAGAAATAGATTTAAATAATGTATTAGATTAATATAGGATTTCTACATATTTCTTTAATGAAACAGATTTACAGGAAATTAGGTTTCTTTAGTTCATCTGTCCTTGGAACTACTCCTTTTCCTACTCTCAAGATAGTAATGAATTTTATAGATTTGCAGAATTGCTCAGCAAATGTTTGTAATAGTTAAGACACATTCCACTTCCAAAAGCTCTTTGAGGCAAAGGCTGCTCTTCATTTTTTGACGCTTGATACTCTGTATTTGGCCAGCATGACTCAGCACAGCAACATGATTTCTATTCCCTTCATGGATGACTCAGTCTGTACATACAAGAACAGTGCCTTAAGAGCACAGAGCACATTGCACACAGAAAAAGGAAAAGAGAATCCTCTAAGAGTCTGCTTTAGACATATTCAACATACTCTGTAGATATTATTGGCTTTTTCTATATAGGAATATAAATGGTCATGATTTTAAGGGAAAAAAGTAATCAAATTCACCAACAGTTCTTACATACACCTTAGCATAAAATAATTTCATGTTCTTTTGTTTGGGTTTTTTTTGGGGGGGGCTGGGTTTTTGGGTTTTTTTAATGCATTTAATGACTAGATTAACATTTGTGTCTGGAGAAATAAAACTCCCCTCAAATATTACTGTGTACAAATGTGATAACCAGTCGAGTTGTTTGATGCACTCTTAGAAGAAATCAGATGGTGACCATGGTACAAAGAGCATAAGGAGACAGTGCACACACACTATCTTGCAAGAACTCAAGTAAAATGGACTTAGCAAATGGGCTTGCCAAAAACAAAGGCAAACATTCCCAAATGACATCAGACCAAGTGCTAAGACCACAAACTTCAAGAGATGGGATGACTGCAGGGACTCTCAGTGTACAGAGGCTTTCCCCACTAAACATCTTGACAGAGGACTCGCTCTTAAAAAAGCTCACATTACTGACTTTACAGAACATTCAAGAAAGCTTAACCATTCCCCAGTTTCTCACTCCAGAAGCAACAGACGGTTATGGAAGCATAGCTTTAAGTTTGTAGAAATGCTTGTCTGACATCTGCCGTATTTTAATATTTTGGTTTTATAGATGCTGGAAAATGAAGAGACACAGAAAAAAAAGGATTAAAGCTGGTGGTTTTTTTCAGTCCAATGTGACTGTTATTAAAGCTCTTAATTTTACTCTGTACACTGCCTAGATATAGCCAGAGACCAGGGGAAAAAGCCATCTGAGGAAGAAAACAAACAAAAGCCAGGCTGCATTGAGTCAGAGCCCATGTCCCACTAACTTGCAATAGCCTGCAGCATGCCTTGACCACAGCAGTCAGACACACCAGGTGAAGAGCCCAGTGGCTAAAGACTATGGCTTGCAGGCAGAACACTTGGGCAACTGGCCACCAGTCACCCCACATTCCCTCTGTGGGCAAATTAATGTAGCTCATGTTTGCCAAAGTTTATAGGTGCCATGAGGTTCTAGTTGTCTGTATGGAATTGGCCTCTTGCCTTTCGAGAGCTAAATGTACCCATTTGTAGAGGCAGACATTCTTGGGACTTTTGGGAACTTTCAAGGATGCTACTTGAGACTTTTACCTGAAAAGTGAATCAGTAAATTTCCTTACCAGGCCCAGATTTCTAAATAACAAAATAGAAGTTTCAGTCACCTGATTAGAAGGTCATTACATGACCAGCACAGACCAATAATGTGTTTCCAAGAACCCAAGGCATATGATTTACGAATAAGGAATGCTTATGACTCTTGCACAGGACTAGCCAATAGCCCTGCCCACCTCATTGAGGAAATTTAGACCTTACCTGGCTTCTTGTTGAAAGGACTGCGGTGAGGCAGGCACGTTTGTTGAGTGTTGGTGGTCTTGCTCTGGGACAACAGAGATACTCGCCTATCATGGCTTCTTCAGGAAGTCCAGCTTGAGAAAGGACAGCAGGCAAATGAGATGCTGAGGTGTTCTGAGGGCTGAACCACAGCCTGTGAAACCCAAAAGAGTTTTCTTCTCCATGTCATGATTTACAGAAGTACCTGTCAGTTGCATGGCTATTCAAAAATATTAATTCAAGTGGTACAAACCACTAAAACTTCCACGTTCAATCCAAAACTACAGTTCAACTGCAGTGAGTGACTCTCAGAGGGTGCAAATTATGTCTTGACTTATGCAGTCTGTAGCATATGAAGACAATCCAGCTTCTAATCAATATTTTTTTTAGGTTGGCTAAGCCAAATTTTCCTTAGGGACTTTTGATCTCTAGAGAAGTATTTCCTTACCCTTCCTGCAACCTTGAAGCTTTTCAGGGATGCTCAGTAGTCCAGGGTCATGAAGGTCTTCTCTGAGAGCATCTTCTGATAAGGGAATGATTTGTTTTCTATCCTGCTGACTGGCACCTTTCTCTGAAGCCTGTCTGACTGACACATGCTGTTGAGGTTGTGTTTTTGCTAATCATTGGACTGGTCTCTTACAACATGTTTATAAATAATAGTTTGGACAACAGCTGTTCTAGTCTGAACCTGTGATATTTTGTATCTTTCTTAAATCCTCTGCCTTGGTTTAACAGAGAATTCCAGTCTACATATTTTAAGGAAAATGTCATGCTCATTGGTGCTGCATGAAAACTTTAAAAATTTATATTGAAATAACTGGCAAATAAATAAATGAGAAATAAGTAAAAAAAACCCATAAAAGGTGGTGATCTGTAGATGCAACACCAGAGGGCAAAGAAGCAAAACCATATTTATGAAGATGACCTGATTACTAAAACAAACCATGCTGTTTCTGAGTGACAGAGTTTTGAATGTTTGTGGCTTGCAACACCAGATACAAATGTATCTGAGCAGACACAGGGAGGAAGAAGAGGAAAAAGGTCCTACCGAGCCTCATCCCTGGGACCTGGAGATGCTCCCTGTCATCTTCCACACAGAGAGGCTTTTTCACGTCCTGCACAGAGTTAATTAAGTTGTAGGAAAGCTATCAGGAACGCTTTGTAGATGCCTCTACCCTATTTCTTTCTCCAGTTCTCTGTGAAAGATAGGTTTGGAGCACAGGCCATGCCAAGAAAGGTTCCCTGGGGAATATCACTTGGTCATTGCTCAGTTCAAGCAGTCCCAAGGATAGAGTCAGATTCCCATGCATAGTTCAAAAGCAGCTTTTCTGCAAGAAAAATTGCAATTTGTGGCCATTTAGCCCTTGGCAATTTTCTACCACAGTACTGTAAAACTTTTTCTATTAGCGGTTATTTGTACCAAAAGTATTTCTTTTCTCTGGTTAGGCATCTTTATACTTGCAGCATTAGCTAATGCCACCAGAGTATACACTGCTTTATAAGCCTGTGGAGTTTATGATATGGTTGGGAGCTGGGAAAAATGCTTTGTCTGTGCCTTGCCAACTCTGTGGTAGCATAAAGCAGAAGCCAGACATCAAAACATTGAGAGAATGCAAAACAGACTTGACAATATTTAGCACTTGCCAGAGGCTTACTCAAACTTGGAGAGGTAAATATATTTATAGCTGCTTTCAGAAGTGTCTACACTGAACTGAACTGTGCACAAGTACTTAGTGCTTTCAATACTTAAACTTTAAAGGAAAGAAATAGCTCCATAGATATAATTCAGCCATCTTTGCTATTATGAGTAATTATTTCACTACCTACCAAGTATTGTACATGTCATGATTAATTTAAGGAGCTGATTCCTGTCATCTACAACCTAACCTCAGTAATTTACAGTTACATCAGACAGGATTTCACCTGACACCTAATTCCTACATCACTGAAGCGTATTGAACATGGGGAGAAATTCCCTATGGAGGACAAACTCACCCAAAAATAGCCTTATTGTGAAGCAAAACTTGAGCACTGGGAGCAGCATCACACCCTACTCTACCATCCACACAGCATCTCTGTAGCAGTGGGGAATTCTGTAACTGTGTTGTGACCATTATGACCATGTAGAGATCAGAAGAGCAGTCACAGCTCCTCTGACCTCTACACGTGGTTCCATGTGGAACAAGAAACAGAGACAAATGTAGCTTATAATCTTCTGCAAGGGGCTGCTTGGGACAAACCAAACAAAAAGCCTGACTGTAGCTTGATGGTTATTTTGAATGGATTTCTTTTCTTTTGAAAGAAAACACTGCAGAACAACTTTTTTGTTGGGACAGTACTCCACTAGGTAGGTTTAAAAATGGACTTACACCATTAGCCTTGAATATGTTGTGATCTATTTCTGCAAGAAGAATAAAAACAATTCTACTTTTTTTAAAGTTTATGAGTTATGCCCACTGCTCAGTACAGCTGTGTGTGTATACTGTATTACAAGCACACTCATACTTCAAAAATATCTTAGTGAACTGTGTATATTTTTGAGGTGTTTTTTTTTTGTCACTTTTCGTTCTGTTCTGCTGTTCTCTCTCTGTGTATGTCCATGTTCAGATGTCATTGAACCACTAGGTGTCCAAACTTTAGTGACTCCCTTGCTATTTGAAGAAAAGACCATTTTTCATATAATCCTACTACAGCTCGTGCTACTTGAAGCTTGGTTTCCTAAGGCAATGAGGTTACTGTAATAGTGCACTGTGTGTGCATGTTTATGTGTATGCATAATTTCACTCAGTTTCCTCCCAGCAACCTTCAATCCTGCTGGCCTGCCAGTCCAATGTAACAAACACATGGCAGCTTCAGATATCTTCAGCTCCTCCAGCGTGGAAAATAAACCAGCAGGTGGTGAGAAGAAAACCTCCATCAACTCCCCCACTGAGAAGGCTACAGCATGGTTGCCCTTGATGGGTGCAAAGAGTGAAATGTCCTGAACTCTAGTCCTGGTAAGACAGTGGGATTTTCCGTCTAATGAGATAGCAGATAACACACCACAAGACAATACCATAGGAAACCAGACTCCACCACCTCCACAGCTCTCGGATTACTTGGGCACCACCTAGATATGGGTTAAGGGTTAGGTTGCCTCTTGAGACATGGCCACTGCCACATTCCTCATTCAGGACACCCCTAACTCAACTTTTACATCATTGAAGTGTCTACTGAACATTCAAGAAAAGTTCCCTGTACCCCTGAAGATGTGGAGCCCTTCTGTAGGCAACAGGGCCATCAAGGTTCACAGATTAACCTCTGATGGTACATGCTGTTTTCTTTCATCTTTATTTAAGGTTCTCAGTGATTTGCTGCCTGTGCAATTATAGCAGGTTCTAAGCTACTGTGAATTCAGAGGTACAGGAGAGAGGAGAGCTCCTTGACCCAGTCTGCCTTAGCTGAGGATAGCTATTAATAGCTTAGATCTACAAATAGCTCACCTGTGGGGCTCCACTCTTTCTGCAGCCCAGGGAATTGACTACATTATCAAGGCTACAGAGGCCCTGAGTATAAGTCAGTGAAACATCATTTTTCCAATTCTCTAATCAGCTTGCAACAGCACACCTTCTTTGTGCTGTTGGGCTGCTCCCCCTGTGGTCAGAGGCCACGTTGTCTGTTCAGAAGCACAGCTGATCCATCAGCAGGCAGACAAAGCTGGGAAAAGAGCATGCAGGTCCTGCCAACTCATCAAGCAGCATTACTTCCTCATACCCAACTGCCTGCAAATTGCTGTCTTTCTAAAATGATGATTAGGGTGGATCAGCAAAGGTAGCCTTCCATACTGCTCATTTTCCACCTGGGAATGCCTTGTTCCTATAATAGCAGTGCCCTCATAGAGCCAGGAGGAAGTGTTCTGGGCTTTGTAAATCATAAGATATCTCTAATGGGAAGAGATCCATAAGGATCATTCAGCCCAGTTCCCTGCTCCTCATAGGACTAACACTAAAATATATGACAGCATCCTGCAGACACTATTTAAACTCTGTCAGGCTTGGTGCTACAACTGCTTCTTTGGGGACTCTGCTCCAGCACCCAACCAGCTTCTCAGTGAAGAAGCTTTTCCTAATGTTCAATATGAACTTCCCCTGATTAAGCTTCCTTCCATCTCCTCACATCCTCTTGGTGGTCACCAGAAGGAGATCAGCATTTCCCTCCCCATTGTCCCCTTGAGAAAGTCATGGACTGCAGTGAGGTCTCCACTCAGCCTTCTCTAAACTGAACAAGCCCAGTGACAGCTGCTCACTTAACCTTGGCAACCCCTCCAACCTTGGTGAGCCATCATCTTCATCAGTGTTTGCTTTGACTTCCAGAGGCTTGTACCTATTGTACATGGGATGAGTGGAGACTAAATATTGCTTTATGATAAGCATAACTTGTGTCTTTTCTGAACAAGAGGCATGAAAATTAGATAACCAAACAGCACACAAAATAATGCCTTACCAAAATTTCAGATGGGTATTTCTGCCAAAGCCTCTGACCACGTCAGAGATCAACAAGAGAAAGGTTGCTTCACAAGAGAGGACAAGCCAGAGCCCAAGCATGATCCCAGTATAAGAAATGCCATCACCATCTAGGGTGCCACCCCACAGGGCAGGAATAATATGGTTAAGTAACCATCCCTTACAGAGCAAGTTAAAGGATCAGGTCCAGAGGACATCTCAGAGTCCAATCACAGGGAGCAGGAGACAGAGCTATAGGTCCAACTAGGTGAACAGTCAGAGACAGCACTGAGTGCAAACATACCCACAATATCTGTCAGACAAAAAACAAAGCTCAGAACTGTGCCTGCATTGATCTTCTGGCAAAGGGTGTGGGAGAGGCCTAGGTGAGTCTCATCTGGGCTGTTAAGGTCTAATAGTGCCCTAAGGGCACTGGGAAGAGCTTAAAATTTTACCCATAGTCAGGTATCAAGTAAACAACTTCAGATGTTCACTCAGTCTTCTCTGTGCCTGTCTGTCAAGGCCCCCAGAAGAAGCTTCCACAAAACCTTCTCTGATCCAAGACTAACAGGATGTGATGGAGTAATCACAGTGTGCACCTGCACCCAGGAAAAGCCACTAGCAACACAATGGGTGGAGCCACAGACAGTGACACCCGGGAAAGGATGATTCACAGGTGACGGATCACCACCCAGCACTGGGAACCACCTGCAGGACAAAGGCAAATCTGTGGCTGATAAACTAAATGCTTTTTGGTTTCTAGGTCAGCAAAGCAGGTTTATTGCAAAGAGTTCCTGCTAATTGATCAGCTCTTCAGCTTGAAGATGATCCAGCCTGCACACCCAGGTTTTCATGCAGTAGAAAGCAGTGTGGAGATGTGAGGTACGGGAGAACTGGGGGAAGAATGCACGGATGTTTCAGTGTCAGGACCTGTCCAGAGCTCATGCCCACCCCAGGGAGATAGATCATATTCCCAGGAACAGCAAAACACGCAGAATCAGCTAATTCCATGACAGATAGCACAACCAGGGTGGAGTAACCAGCAAAGAAATAAACCAAATTTGATTGCAGTATTGCCTCCTAAACCACAGGTGCCCAACCACAACGTACCCAGTAGTTGTGGTTATCCAATCTCCAAAGTCAATAGGAGGGCCAGAAAATGCTCATGAAAATGAGTTTACATATTGTTCTTTGATACCATATCAACACAGAGTGAGGGATGGCACCTACTGGATACCTCCCACACCCTGAAGCATCACCGCAAGATTCTTCTTAGTGTTTGAACATTAAGCTATCATAGGTAAAGAGGTGTTGCTGTGAGGTTAAAAGCCAGAGCAGGAATTAACCTTTTGGCAATGTCATGTTCACTTGGTGATGAAGGGGTTTTCTAACTCAGAACTTTGAATGACAAAGCCATACATTTAAATGGATATGTTATGTTATGTTATGTTATGTTATGTTATGTTATGTTATGTTGTATTTTTTTCCCCCAGAATTAGTCTATGTGTTGGACCTTTGTTGCCACTATAGGTAATGGTACAAAAATATTTGTGTGAATGTAAGCACTGGAAAGGCAGAGAAAAAATGCTTCCCCCTTTTATCTATTAGGAAATCTCAAAAAAGATGCCATATAGAAAAACTGCAGAAGAAATGTGCCTTATTTTCTTTTTATGGTGTGACACAGTGTCAGGTCATGCTGGCTTGGCTGTAATCTTATCTGCAGTATCTCATCCTTTAGGAATCTCTGCTACAACTACCATTGGAGTACCTTTCTGGAAAAAGAGGACTCTTGAGAAAGAAAAGCAGTTGTACAAGATGACCTAATAGTTGAATAATCTTTTCCCTTGAGGCAAAGCATGAAAAAACATGAAAGCTACCAAACAGGGTGATCAGAAATAACTGGAAATACATGTCCTGAAGGGTGGTACATGACAGATCTTACGAATCACTCAAAACTTCACTACCAGTTATTTGCCCCTTCTAAAGCTGGGGGCCTTTGGAGACTGACACTTTTTTCTCCCTTTATTATCTTTCACAAACACACACACACATTTACAAACACGTAGTGCCAGGATCTACACAGATATATACTGCTGATGGAAAATAAATGCCAGTATAGGAACCCTAGAGTTTCCAGAACTTTCCTGTTCTGATGTGAAGGCATGTTAATGAACTGAGAGGCTCTCCCTTCAGGTATCTGCTGCACATAGGTTGCACAAAGATGCACACATTATATTCTACTTTGTTGAACATGTATTTCCTCAAGTTTTCTCTGCAGAGCTAATTCAGCATAATGACAGTGGACTGTAAAAACCATTACTTAAGACAATATTAATATGCATTTTTTTGTTTAATAGGGCCTTGGTAGCTCACTGCCAAGTAATACGTAAGCAAATCATCATTCATTAGGGAAGCTTGAGTAACATTGTAAGGACCCAATTTGCTTAAAGAGTCTGAAGTTATTGCTGGGCACATGTCCAGTGTTCCCTCAGATTTGCAGAAGCATACAAGGAGTATTTTTCCCCTGAAGTTACTTTTGTATTCTTCTGCTTTTTAGATGTGTATTTAAATAGAGAAATTCACATGAACATAATACCTGAGAAGTTACTTTCTTTATAAAAAGCAGTCATAGGAGGTAGGTCAAATGTTGGTTCCATTTCCAAATGCATTGACTTCTGTGGGGGATGAGTGACCTGCCAAAGACTAAAATTTGATTTTGTGTTCCCAGAAAGGGTTATGGTTGGGAAATCTGAAACCATGTAACCTTTGTGCATTCATTAAATGTGTAAGTAATAGAACTGCTGGTGTACAAAGTACTTTCAGACTATGCCCATGAGACTGGCTGTCAGCCTTTTCAGAGAACAAGCTTTCTTCTTTCCTTTCCTTGAACTTTAATGAAGAAAAAAAATACAAAATCCCCCAGAACAGGTTGACTAGAATATAGCATAAAGTTTAGGGTAAGGGGAGTCAAATTCAGGCTTTTCTGAGGCAGATTAGAAGCAAGTGATCTTGGTAGTTTGTCAGATGGCTTGTGCTAGTTATCAGACACATTAGGGAGGGAGTCAGAGCATCCTGCAGCTAAACAATACTGCAGCAGGGAAACTGGCTGGCCTTAATGGGAGCAGATGTCTGTAGTGGGACACCTGTGCCAGGGGACCACTGCACCACACCTGAGTCAAAGAGACTACAAGGATAGCTCTGGAGAGCAGGACTTCAAGCTGGCTAATAGTGGCTGCTGGAATATCAGGGAGGGAAGGTATATGGAGCTTTTAGGGAAAATAATGGATTTGTGACTCTAGGGAAAAGAGCAAGGGTAGACAAAAGATAAATGTCACCTCAGTTGCCAAATCAGCAGTGAAGCTGACAGCTCTCCAGTTTGGAAGTAAACAACAGACAATGTGCATTTGTAGCCCAGAAAACCAATTTTATCCTGGTCTGCAGCAACAGATCAACAGAAGCCACCACATCAAAGGTGATCCTTCCCTTCTGCTCTGGTCTCTTGAGATCCCACCTGGAGTCCTGTGTCCGGGGTCATCAGCACACAAAAGACAAGCACCTGTTGGAATGAATCCAGAGGAGGCCACAAAAATGATCAGAGGGCTGGAGCACATCTGCTACAAATGTAGGCTGAGAGTTGGGGCTGTTCAGCCTGGAGAACGAAAGGCTCTGTGAAAACCTTATTCTGGCCTTTCAATACTTAAATGGAGGCTTAGATGAAAGATGAGGTCTTTAGTATTAGGGCATGTTGTGATAATACAAGATGTAATGTCTGTAGACTAAAAGACCACATAGATTCAGACTAGATTTAAGGAAAAACAAATTGTGATGAGTTTGGTGAAATACTTGTACAGGTTAACTGAGAGGTTGTAGATATCCCATCCCTGAAAGCATTCAAGAACATGTTGGACTGGGCTCTGAATGCCTTTCAGGGTGAGAGTTTGGATTTGACAGGTCTTAATAAGTGTACAAAGCTGAATAACTCAAGATTCTTATAAAATAGGTGTTTAAGTAATCTTGAAGTAATTTTAAAATTTGCCTAACTTGTGCCTGAAGAGAATGTAAGGTGGAAGCTCTACCCCTGCTTTGGCCCACCATGAGATGCTTTAAAGGAGGTTATTCTTC